ACAGATGAGTAATACATTCAAATATTTACTAAAATCGAAATGCATGTGTATGTTATGGTTCATAACACTGTGACCACTGCAGACCATAATGGACTTATCCAGATCAATGCATGGTAGAGTCTATTAATGTTACATAGGGTTGAAAGGGTTAACACTGCGACCATTGCTGGAACGAAATCAAAGTGATCGTGATTGGTTATAACATTGTCAGGTCAATAGCATTTTGATAAAAGACTAATGGCTTATATAGAAAGTGACCACAGCAAATCAGTTGAGGTGCAATATCTCAACTGAAACATCGTGATTGGAAGGAAAATGGAAATTGACCAAACCAGACAACATATATACTGACCACTGCCATTAGTGAGCAATGCTGCAGATCTAGTAAGTTGTCTAGGTATTAAGTCTGACTTAACTCATTCACCCCTAAAATTTCATGATGAACTATTCCAACCTTTGTATTGGAAGAGTTCAGATGTGTCTTCAGGGGTGAATGAGTTAATGAGAAACAGAATAAATATTTGATGTTACATATATATAAAAAGGGACAAAATCTTAATGGTGATATAGAATGGATATTCTACATGAGTTCAAATGTGTCTTCCGGGGTAAACGACTTAATTCGCCATATGTTATCTGCCTTGGACATCTTCATGATCAAATATATCTCTGAAAGCACAAAGATATTTTTCCCAAGAAAGCAAGTGATCTCAATGTCATCCTTTTCTATTTATAGTCCTGATGTACAGATGTAAGACAGAGATTGATTGACAAAGCTTTCTGGTGTAAAGAAGGATTTCAAGTATAAAAGAACGTATTTTTCTCCACTATAGATTGATCTGATCGAAGGAGTTTGGTCTCTCTGGTTCACCAATGAAACCTTACCACTGGCACTGTGTAGGTCTCTGGGGAAGACGTTTGAGTTGTAGGTTAGAACAGCTTCATTGTTATATTGAGATACCATAGTGTGTACAATCCGACACTTCTTCTTAATTAATTCACGCTATTTGTCCCTTACTGTAGAAACACTTAGACATATGGAGTAATTGATCATTCTGAATTTGACCTTTTGTACATCACAATCGTTTTATCATGATCAGAAGATTTCTCTTACCATCAATGTCAATATTTTCTCTTTGAGATCATGTTTAATGATTTTGCTTGCAGTTATTATAAGAGCGCAGCTCTTCTTGCGCTGAAAGCGCAAGAAGCGAAGCTCTTTTCCGGTAACATGCACGAACAATTGAAGTCATGGTAACGTCGAAATACTATGCTTCCAAAATCCTTCGTCACGGAAGTACCTAGTATAGAGTTACTGTGGTCCTATTTTTACAATGCTGTTTAGCTTTGCTACACATTCTCAAAAATATCTCTTTATTTGATAAAAAAAATCTGTGGTTATGTAAATTCATGACATTAGAAATTATAGAAACTGAAGCTTTTTTCTAATTTTCAGTTTTTTCTTCTCTCCACCCAAACCGGAAATATATAGTAACTACCAAACCAGACGGAAATCTGGATATGTTTGGGCTATTGGGATTCTCTTTTTACACGATTTAGAGGGATCAGGCAAAGTATACCATGTCGGAAAATAAAATTGGAATTTAATCACCAATATACCTAACTTTTATAATAACAGATAATAACAGTTATATTTGATAAACAATACATCTTCAAATATGAAGTCCCTCTACTGGGCCTCACTCTTTCCGCAACATTACGCTGAGGCCATAGACGGGGCAATTGAATGCAACAGTACCAAAT